CTTCTCCAGCCCAATGAAATTCACTTTTCTCAAACATCAAAATGTCTCATTGAATTATTATAGAACTTATCAGACCGTGAACTCTTTCAACTTCTTCGTAAGTAGTCACTTTGATTTGAAAGCTTCTGATTTCATTAATTGCATAATAATGTAAAATAATAAAGCATTTTTAGGCTGGTTTACCGAGCTTTTAAATTTATTCAGGAATTCAGGGAGCAAAATATAGTATTTTTGTATAATAATCATTGATTAGTTTATCCTAGATTATCCAAGTTTTAGAATACAGAATAGTTCTTAATTCGCCACACACTTTCTCAAATTTCTTCAATTTGGAAATTCCATTATAATTTTCTCAACTTTTCCGTTTCGCTTTCTCATTTCTTCCGCACATTTCCACGCGTCCTTTTCTTACTCTCTCAATTTGAAATGCAATTTTCACTTAATCTCTGCGCTATTCTTGAGCATTTCTCAGAGGACACATTTAGCTGAAGCATTTGTTGTCGCTGTGTTTGCTTTGACAGTTGTTCTTTCAATTATGCACAGGTGTTCCTAAGTCTCTCCCTATTTCCTTACCAACAAGGGCTTTGCTCTCGGTCCCGTTTCGTGTTTCCTTTGACATATTGTGTTACTTTCCATTTTTTTGCGCTGCGTTTCTATTTTTTGAAGTGCCGCGCAAATCGCAGCGCAAATTTTAAGTATACAATAACAAGACCAACAAAAAAACGAATAAATTGCTCAGACTTCATTTCAATTCTTTCAACTTTGGTGCAAGAATTTAATTCGATATTTTTGCTCAGTCGCCAGTTTTTTGACCCACACTGAGAAAAATGATGTACTCTCGAATAGCACATATTAAATTAAGCATTTTAATCGTTGGGAATCAAAATGAGAAGAAAGAGGACAACAACAAACTGTTTATATGGTTCTTCCTTCTGGAACAAGATCTAAAGATTTCAAATTTTGGAATAAAAGTTCTTTTCTGCTCAATTTATTTCATCCTATCGATAACTTTTCCTCGTATCGATACAAATCGATTGCCATAAATAATGTGAAACGTTAAAAGGGGTATCTTCTAGTCGAAAGAGCTCGACTAGAGCATTCTTACTGCTGGCTATCTGACAAACGCTTTCAACAGCACTATTTCATTCACCCTGCGGCAAAGTTCCCATTAGTCTTGATTCAACACTTATTTTGTTTGCTCTCAACTATTTCCAACACCAAAGTTTACTCTTGGCCATCTCTCTCTCTCTCTCTCTCTCTCTCTCTCTCTCTCTCTCTCGCTCGTTCTATGTCTGTCTCTGTCTCTCTTAAAGCCCTGAAGCAATGCCAATGTCTGTTTGAATGTCCAACTGCATTTAACGCCAAATTTGATTAATGTTGCATTAATTGACTTTCACTTTTTTGGTGTTTTTTTTGTTGGTCAGCTTTTCGGATTTTGGTTTCGAGTGTCGATCGTTAAGTCGAGAAGGTCTTCAGCTTAGTTAACTACCTTAACCCCCTTTCTGTTTGTCCCCTCGCGTCCCCCTCTCTCTTTCTCTCTCTCTCTCTACCCATCTCTTCATCTCTTTTGCTTAATTGGAGTCTTATTTAAACATGCAAATCAGGAGCAGCTGTATTTTATACATACATGTACATGTATGTATATATGCCTTTTGGGGGCAACCCACTCGTTTTGCCACATGTCGCGTTTTGCCAATATGCTGTTTCACACACACACGCACACACACACGCACACACACATCAGCACACCATAAAATAAACACATTTATGCAATGCAAGCGCAAAGTTCACTCAACTTTCGCGGAAAGTTTTTCTATCGTTTTGAATTCTCAACTCACCACTTGGCCATAAATTTTCATTCGTATTCGCATCTTTCATTTCCATTTCAATTGCTAGTTGTTGCCCGGAAAATGTGCCACAAATTGTGACAGCAGCTGTGAAAAGGAAGCGTCAGAAAAAGGCTTTGAGACAATGTTGCCCGACTGAATGTTAAAACTTCACGACCTGTCCGGTCGGATAGCCGCCGGTTGTTGCCGTGTTCTAATTGTGACTCTTATTCCTTTTTCCTTTTTGCCTTTAGTCTACTTTGCGTTGCTTGTGTGTTTCTGCCACGCCCACTCATTCTATTTGCAATACACTCGTTGAATTTACATGGAAATATTAAATGCAAAATAGTCCAACATTTGTTGCATGGATTGGGGAAAACCCAATGAAGCCATTTGGCTCATCGACGCATAAGGTATAAATATCGATATAAATATAAAACTTGGAATGGCTCCGTCTTTTTGCTGCAGATACGTTGCAGACGGTTGCAATGCTCAGTTTATTTTTGTTTTGATACATTTTATTACTGTGGCAATATTTCTAACGCCTTCGTATCTTTGCTAAGCACAATTTATAAGCTATTTACCAAGGATACTTGTTTCCCAAGTTGTAGTATGGCTCATTCCCTGAAAACCCAAAAAAAAACATCGTATATCATTGTATATTTGTATCAATAACCTACGCTTCGAAGAGCAACTCATATTATAAAATGCATTCTGTTTAAAATACGAACTTCAGGTGCCATATCACTGGCAGTGCCTTCGCCTTTCGTTATTTTTGAATGTATTTCTCTAATAGTGCCACAATCACTTAGCTTTAATGTCCGATATTTGTTGGCAAGTAGAACTACATAATTTTCGTTGTAAAAGTAATGAGAAAATTGGAATCGTTGCCTTTGTAAAACACTTTCTTGAAATACTCTACATATTTCGGCTCTGTTTATAAAATTATTAAAGTAGTACAACTTTTAGATACATATCTTATCATCATCAACTGCTTATTATCATTATCATGCTACATAATTATTACAAATAGCGGCCACTTCCGCTCATTTAATATTTTTCTCAAATTAGCACCAATTGAAATCTTTCTTTTCTCTTCAAGTGCGTTTCAATTTCAAATGTGGCTTTCAACAGAATTTTTTTGTGCTACTTGAACAAATTCCTACTTCAATTCGTTCACATTTCTTCTATATATATACTTATATATATATGTAAATTTTTTTTTTCTTCAATTTTATTATGTGTGTTGCTGGTTTTGTTTACTTTGGCTTCGCTTATCAGCTCGCGAGACGTTGAAAAAAAGCTCAGAGGAAGTAAAATTTCTTGTTATTTTTTTCTTTGCTTATCGTCTACCCTCCCACTGACCCCAATTGTTTTATTTGCCTCTGCATCTGGGCCGTTTTTTGCCTCTTCTTTTTCACTTTAGAGTCTAAAGTGTTTCGTTGGTTTTTGTTTGGATTTTTTGTATTTTTCTTAGTTGAAATCGCTGCTTGTTTATTTGAGGTCTTTATGTCAACTTCGCTGCTGACTACTTGCTGCTTCAGTTTTTTCCTACACTCTGTAAAAAAAATGGATTTTAGCTTTTGGTTTAAAAAAAAAACTTTGGTCTGGCTGAGCGACTAGAAACTTGGAAAAATATTAACATTTTATTGATTGCAAATTGATAAAATGAACTCGTTCTCGAGTCTCATGGAATTTCAAATGTCGTTTACCGCTAATGCCTTTTATAAAGGTCTAAAAAGACTATATATATTTATCAAAGTATTTATCTTAAAGTTACAGTTCCAATTTCACTTACCTCCTAATCAAAAAGCATCGATTTTGTTTCTGCTCTTTTCTATATCTGTTTTTTTACTGGTGAAGAGAGTATTGTGTCGTCGACCCAATTTTTGTTTTGTTTTTGATGTTTTTTTTTAATATTTTTAAACAGTTGCGGTAAAAATATTAATAGAGTTCACATATGTTTTAGAAAATGTTTAAAAAAAAATACTTAAAATATAGTTAAGAAAATTTAGAATAAATTGGTATTGAAACACACAACACAAAAAAAAAAACCACTCAAATTTACTAAAATTTATATTTATTTTTATTAAATTATTATTTAAATTAATCATAAAATGAGTCATATTCTTATGAAATGCCTCGAAAAGCAGCACTACTATTATTTTGACCACAACTGTATGTTTCGCTGGTGATAAGGCTCAGCGCGCCGGGCGTTGTGCTTATCTCTACGGGTTTTCACTTTGCGACGCCACGCTGCATATGTTCTTCATCCTCCCCCCTCCCCACCCCCTCTGCACACCCACACATACCCCTACTTATCAAGCTAGCCAAAAAAAAAAACCAAAAACGTGTAAAACAAAGACAGGAAAAACTTCTTAGGACTTCCCATTCGCCAGTTGTTTTTTTTTTAAGCCTCTGTTCAAGTCAATTAGGCCAATTATGTTGACTTAATTGCGCTTGCAGCACAATTGAGGCAGCAACAGCCTTCCCTACCCTTGTCCTTCCCCCCTTCCGCCAGCAAATACGGCACACGTGCAAAAATTAACCCTCGCCGTTGTCGCAACAAAGGAGCAAGGCAGCCAGCACGTCACTTCAGAGCCGCCAAGTGGAATGCCACGCCAAAAAATCAAAAAAAAAAAATCCCCGCAACAAAAAAAAAGAAGGAAGAAGCTGGCAAAGCTGAATTTTTGCCAACACATTATTAAAACCAGTTGCATATATTGTAGGGTGTGTGCTTTGTTAATGTTTTTTTTTTCTTTTTTCTTTTTGTTCGTACTTTTTAAATCGATTAAATCTCAAGCACAACGGTATTTAGAATACTCGTTGACTTGACGGAAAAGCAAGAACTTTTCGTATTTCGAGTAAAAATTGTATTACGAAATTGAAATATAGTTGATAGTTCTTTTCTTCTTCTTTGACCATAATCTCAACATGGATTTCAATCTAGAAATGTGTTTATAATTTTTAAATGCAATATTAATCTTGATTAAGAAGCACAATTTGTTAAAAATATTCGTTTAGTTTTGGGGTAAAATATAAAATTGCGGATGTAAAAGCAATTAAAAATAATTATATCAAATGCAAAAAAATAATGAAAATCCTCTGGCAAAATCTGTAGTTCAGCTAATCTTATCCTCTTCTTTTTCCCATTTTTTTTTCTTTGTTTTTTAGCGACGACGTGAACGGGGTCGAATTAATTTGAAAGACGTTCGCCTCGTGGAGGAGGCAACGGTTAGCGGAGAGGGTGGCGATCCCTTTGCGCCGGATGTAAGTGCCACATAATCTGAATTAGATTTGGCCGATATTGATATTGATGTTGATTAACATGAACATTTACAATTACTTGCACAGGGTTATCCATTTCAAGTGGGCTACTGCGAGACGCCGTCGACAAGCGTCGCACAACAACAACAACAACAACAGCAACAAAAAGAGCAAACTGCTAACGGGAGTGAGGGGCAACTGGTTTTTAGAGCGGTGCCTCAATACACGCTCTACGTGATAGCCAACAGCGAGAAGGAGCGCACCGAGTGGATACACGCCATACGACAAGGTAACCATCTATCTACATCTCCATCTGCAACTTCATCTCCAGTCGCAAAGTATGAATGATGACCCCAAAAAATCAGTTAAATACAGTCAACAGCACACACGACTGTACCTTACTCTGTTGATCGTTCCAAAAATAATTTGTGATACTCTTAAATAAATAAATACAACTCTAAAATGTAGAATTAAATTCTCAACTCCCAGCAATTCAAATTCTACAGAGTATCACTGATGCTCGTTGGATTTTTGTCCAGCAGTTTGCCGAGCGAATTCTCTCTGGCATCTGCCTCTAGGTGCTTACACTGATCTGGCAATGTTGCCAGTGTGTGTAAATCCACAATTTGATGGCTATCAATTAAGCCATTCCAAAAAGTAAGACTAACTTCAAGTTTGCGGAAAGTAAGAGTGGCAAACAAATATGCCAAACAGATGTTAAAGTTTTGAGTATATAGATGCGATAGCATTGATAAGAAAACCCAATCAACTCATTCTCCCACAGCCGGAACAGAGTATACAGAAAAAAAGGTGCAGATGCTGCAGCTGTGCCAATCGTTTGAACACGATAAGAGCTGAAGTTGGAGTTGGAGTTGGAGTCTCTGCATCAGGGCCAGCTTAATGCTTAACCCAAATCAGCACAGTTTGCTAGAGTCCAATTTATTTATTTATTTATAATACGATTTTTAACTCTTTCACACTCTCTATCTGTCTCTCTCTCTCTCTCTGTTGCAGTCTGTGAAGACAGCAATACGCCCAAATCGTATCGCTATCATCCGGGTCTCTGGTCTGGCAAGAAGTGGAGCTGCTGCAAGGGTTCAACAAGGAGCACATTTGGATGCCGAGCCGCCATCCACTGGCGTGAGGCCAATAACAATCCAAGTAAGCAAAAACCAACCAACCACATTTTGCAAACATGGCGTCAGTCTTTAGCATAGAGTCCTCCTCCTGCTCCAAATCTGTTTGGGGGTCGATCCGACGACCAGCTGCTACATTCCATTGTTTGCCGCTCTCTCCCTCGCCCCATCCATTATAGACCCGGTGCCTATTTATAGGGCGGCAGATAGGCCCAGGCAACCATGTGGAATATGTTCTTGTCTACTCTGAAATGATTCTGGGGGTTGCACATTTTTCATTTGGTTAAGGTGCTAAAAAAGGCATTTCAATTTTGTCACCAAATGTGTAACGCTCAATGTGAGCATATTTTGATAAAAAATAAAAATATTTATTTACCCAGTTGCTGTGCCAGAAAAGTTAACATTATTTGATATACCAGATTGGAAAAAAAGATTCAATTTATTTTTATCAATGGATCTCTTTATAATTACACAGAGTCATAGAAATTCATTTTTATTCTTGTTAAAAAAACTATCTTGACATTCTGTATAATATTATATAGTACCCGATAGCAAATCGGAATCCCCAGATTCTTTGGGTTTTAAGCAGAAATTAAATTCAAATTCAGATTATGATATTTATTACGATTTGAGAATTGTATTGCAATATCGGCTTACATTATTTTAGGCCGTTTGAAAAAATACTTTTTTGAACAAAGAATTTTTTTATATGTTTTAAAATTTTCTCGTTGCAAACTTAGAATTAAGATTATTATTATTATTTAAGATCATCTTGATATTCTTAGGGTATTGGATCATCGACAAGAAATACAATAACGGTTCTTGTTTGTTGTTGAACTCGCATTGTTTTGTTGTGCTTCGCTTTGGCATTGCAACATGTGGCGATAAACTGTGGCAGGCATTCGTCGTGGCTTTGGAAATGGACGTAGGCCAATGGGGCTGCTGTGGAGTGTGGCGGGGCGCGTTTTGGAGCAAAGGCTGACGATGGGGCTGGGTCTGGGTCTGGTGTCGGATAATGTGCTCCGATTTTAATTTCATGCTTGAAGCTTTCACCTTTGGCGAGCAAGCGAGCGAGCGAGTCATTCATTAGACATGGCTGAGCCTAATGGAGATATCAGCAGCAGCAGCAGCAGCAGCAACAGCAACTAGAAGCAACTTCTCCTTAGCTACACTTGGAGAAATTGAGAAATTCTAGATACCAGAAAAAACGCACTATTTTCGCCCGAATAACCTGATTAATTAATTGTTTTATTCTTCATTCCACCAGTCCCTCAGCTTTGAAACTATCTTAAATTTTGATTTGACTTTATAAACTATCTAAAATGTTTGTATATACGAAATCCTTTCTTTTCGTTGATTTGTTTTTTTCTTTCTCTCTGTGTATTGACTGTGGATTGTTGTTGTGCACGAGACCGACTGCATCCGATTGCAACTGGCTGAATTGTTGTTGCCACAGCTATTCTTGACTTTTCACACATGTTTGCCATTCGCAGCGCTTTTCACCATTCCCCGGCTTGTCGCTGCCTTGCACAATTTGACACATTGTGCATTGCTCCGCACACCTCCCAGGCACTGCCCCGCCCTGCCGTTGCCGCCGCCGTTCCCCGCCAGTGACAACTGGCTACCCATTTGAGCTGTTAATGAGAGTGTATCTGCAAGATGCGCAAATACTTTTGCCAACGCGTGTGTGGCCGGAACAAACAAAACAGTCTCAGTTCTTCTCAGTTTGGTTTGAGTTTGTCTAATGCATTTGGCCAACTGGCAATCAACTTGGCAGTCTGGCTGTCGACTATTTACCAATTCCAAGTAGTGGCTCATAAACTTAACTTATCTTTTAGGATAGAGAGAGAGAGAGAGAGAGAGAGAAAGAAAGAGAGAGAGAGAGAGAGAGAGAGAAAGAAAGAAAGAAAGAGAGAGAGAGAGAGAGAGAAAGAGAGAGAGAGAGAGCAATAGAGAGAGAGAGCATCTGATATGCAAGTGAGTCTTTCTATGTTTAGTTAGTTATTATCGCGTCTTTTCGATTGCAAATCTTAACTTTATTTACTAGATATTTTCAAAGTCCACCAATCGAATTCGTTGCTTGAAATTTATAATTTCTTTTTGAAAGGGAATGGGTTTATTTTTTAATAATATAATCTGCCCAAATTGTTGAGAGATGACACTTTTGAAGTCTGCTGATATACATAATTTATCCCATCTTCTGCCTCTTAATCTATGCAGACACCTTTAATATTATTATCATCGCGTCTTTAAGATTGCATCTTTATTTTCTAGATATTTTAAAAGTCCATAATAATAATTTCTTTTTGAAAATGAATTCTTTTTTAACAATATAATGTGCCCAAATTGTTGAGATATGTCATTTCTGAAGGCTGCTAAGATACACTACTTATCCCGTCTTCCTCCTTATATTCTATGCTCATTGTCAACTTATCTTTCAATCTATGCAGACACCTTTAATATGAATGCACATTCTACTCATTATCAGCCCTTTCATCGATTTTAAAATCGCATTAAACACATACCCATTGTATGAATGTCACATTTGTTGTGTCTACTGCTCGTTTCTCGCTTCTCTATTCAGGAGTCCTGCTGCACTGCGAGATAAGAACTTTTCCCATCAGCTCAACCAATTACTTGGACTGCTTGTCAGCTCAGCTGATTTCGATCTCATCCGATTAAAATGCAGCCAAACGGAACAACTGCCCGCATTGTCTCGCTCGCATTGAGTGAGGGACTACCCTTAATACAAAACCGGGAGGGGGAAGATTGGGGAAGATTGTGAACTTCACTTTAGGTTGCCGTTAAGTCTGCCATATTTTTTGGCAAGTCATTATTGCTGTTGAGATCTCCTTTGTGTGTGTTGCGAAATCAGGTCGCCCTCTCAGCTGTGTGCCATTTATCAGCCGCATTTAGGATGAATTCTCTCTTTTTTTTTGGGGCTCCTGTTGTCAGTTGCCGTTACAATAAATTAGCCTGTCAATGAATGCAATCTCTGCTTTTTTTTAGTCAGCTACGCCCCCGCAAAAGGTTCCCCATTGCTCGCCATGCGTTGAGATTAATTGTGCTTTCGTCTCTCATCCTTTTATTTCACTTATCTTTCTCTTTCATACTTTCGCTGCGTGCCTTGCACGTTTGGGTAATTAAAAAAAAACCGAAATCAACAGCTAGTCACAGTTTTACGATGTCGCCAGCCCCATCCGCACCCTCCCTTCCCCTCCCCTCCCCTCCTTGCACAGCTAACCAACCCCTTGATTGCGGCAAAACACTTGTCAAAGATTTATGCTCGCCTTGTTTTTAAGTGCCTTTGAAAATAGTTTCATGTCTCTGATTATTATCGGCACTTTTTCTCTTGCATTCTCTCTCTTTCTCTCGCCATCTCTCTCTCTCTCTCTCTCTCTCTCTCCATCGCTCTGCGTCTCGTCTAATAAGTCCGCACTTGAACTCAAGTATTACTCCAAAAAATAAAACAATATAGAAAACATTGCAGTCGGACGTAACCAACTGCGCCATACTCTGGAAGATTTTGCGGCAGATATGCGCATTTCAGATTTCTGAAATTTATACGCTGACCTTTGGAGGAGGCTACCAGCAAACTGCCTTTCAAGTTTGGTGACTCTATCTTTACAATTGTGGCAGATATGCGGTTTTATCGATTTACACTTTCAGAAGAATCAATAACTGCGGAAGGGGCGGAGGTGGCGTGGCTGATGCCAATATTTGAAGGACATCGTCAACAATCAACAATATTTATGTCTTATCGATTTTATCGATTTCCTAGTCACCTAGTGGATTTAGCATTCCAATGACAAAACCGATATACTCTTGATATCTTCGGTGTCAGAGCATAAAAAGAAAATAGTAAATAGTAAATCACACAATTTTCACAAATCACTTGAATAATCTTTGAATATTTCTAGGAAACATATTTTGATTATCTTTCGCATTTTTTAAGTCATCATTAAATATAAGAAAATGAACTATGTTCGACATAATTACAGGGTATACCACAAAATAGACACAATTTTCTATTAGGTTTAGGGTTCGTTTTTGTTGGTTTCGGTTTCGACTTCGACATCGCTTTTTTATATATGTATATATTTTTCGGACACCCCCGCGGAGCTGGAAGAGATGCCTGCTGGAGTTCCTTGAAGTTGGAAACTGGTTTCTTTTTTTTTGGTGTTGTATGTTTTTTTTTTGGTTTTGTTTGTTGTTGGGGCATTCGGGGCACATATTCGAAAAGCCAGTTCGATATTTAAGAGCGACGCTGCCGAAAGAGCGAAAAAAAAACACAAAAACAAACCAGTTTTTGCCAGTAGAAAAAGTAAACAAAAATTTTGTGTCTAGTGTGTTTCTTGTGGCGGGGCATGTGCAATGAACTTGCCCCGAGTGCTGCGAGGATTCCAGGCGCAACTGCAGCTGCAAAAGGGCTACGGGGGTTGTGGAGGGGGGAAGGTTGTAGAAAGAAGTGGAGTTGCTTCTTTTGTCGCTGCTCTGATTAATACATATATCGTGTGCTCCCTCTCTCACTCTTTAATTCGCTGCTGCGCCTATTTAACGATAGGCATCTGAGTTCCTCAACCCAATCCCTGGTTACACAGTCACCCATTCGAAAGTCACAAATGATTGTAATTAGGCGCTTTTGTTGATGTTTTGTAGTGTCTTTTTTTTGGTTTTGTTTTTGTTGCGTCTCCTTCAAAAGCGTCGGGTGATTGACCATGAAAAGAGCAGCAGCAGCAGCAGCAACAGCAGCAGTCGAGTAGCAGCAGCAGTAGAGAATCAAAAACCCCAAACCCAGCCACAGACACAATCCAAACGCGCTTTTTGATACCATGCTAACATTGCAAATGTTTAAAAGCGGGTAGTTGAAATTGTGTACGAACACGATCTAGACAAACATGTGTATATTATTTTAATTTAATTTAAATATGGTAAATATTCACAAAGTGAAAAGTTGTACATATTTATTAATTATTTATACAAATTTGATAATTATTCGTATATGCTATATATATGTTAATTCGT